TAAGTTCATGTCTGTCAAACTGAGGGGTGCACATCCCAGGAACTGAACACGACAAGAGTGATGGAACACTTTAAAGTCAGTGAATAAACACTAGATATCTAGAAAAAACACTTCTAAAGTAGAGTGAACAGGTATATTATGAAACAAAACACCAACTTTTGTTAATTTCTAGGATAAAGCATAAAAATTCAAATAAATGTTGGGCTTACTGCAGTTGCCTTTTGCTATGGAATCCAGGCCCCAAAAGGCCTCACTCCACTCAGCGTTGAAGCTAAGTGGAAAAGTTTGAGAATCACCGCCTTAAGTAATTACTGAGGTCTCCCTCCAGTTTCTACCTCTGTTATAAATGAAAGTCACGACACTAGTACACATGTATACAGCATGAAATAAACTAAGGCAACAATCTGTAAGAAATGAGCAACAAAATGATGGAAGTGATGATGTGTATTACTTTGTACTCAAATTTGTTTTTAACTCTAAAAGTAGTAACTGTGTCCCTACTAATTCAAAGTTTAGGCTTGGCAACCCCACACAAATAAAGAGGAATAGTTCTTACTGCAATGCCTTAGAAATCTGGCACATGTACGCTTCATAACAATTATCAAAATTTACAAGAAAATTAATCTGGTCCACTTACATATAATTTGGTACTTGCTGTTCCCTCTGCTTGGAACACTCGTCCCTTCAGTTCTCTACTCTGCTGATTCTTTTTTAGCCTTTACACTCAACTCGTCAGAGAAGCCTTTCCTAACCAACCCCCTGCAAGCCTTCTATAAATGTCGTCATCCTGTTTGTTTCCTTTAAAGCCATTACTACAATTTGCAGTTATCCAGGAATTTACTCTTTATCATCTGTGTGCTTCTTCCCAAAAGAATGGACCAGAACCTTGTCTTATTTATTGCCACATCCCCAACTCTCTTGAGTGTCACTCAATAAACATTTTGGAACGAAAGGCTGCTGCATAGTATTTAAAAATTAAAAAGCAGACATTTCTCACAGATTTTTTAAAGTCTAAAAAATCAGACTGTGGAGCTATTATAATCTGGCTCTCTTTTCTTACAAACCTAAAAAGAAACTGAGGTTCGGCAACTCCTAGAAAATCTTTTTAGGATTCCAAACTAGGGGTGGAGCCAGGACTCATCTTCCATTTCCCTTGTCTTCCACGCCAGGGTGCTTTCCAAACCAAGCTCACTTTATTAGTCCTGCAGGATGTATAAACAGTGTTGAATATGCATGAAAACCAATTGTTTGCTTCTTTTCCCATCAATTGCCCTTTTTCTTTTTTTTTTTTTTTTTGCCCACTATAGTGGAGATATCACATGCTAAGAAGGCTGATCTCTGTGCCATGTGCAGACAAGATGGAACACCATTAAAATCCAATGCTGTTCCACAGCATGGACTATGAGCTTCACCTCCACTGCAGCCACGGCCAGAGAGCCACTAGATTGACTACAGAAAGTCACAAAGTGTGTCTGAAGCCAGGAGAAGTCAATCCCATAGGCACCGATCTCTCACACATCCAAAAAACAATTTAATACATACTTGGGTAGCTATGCCTATTTTCCTCAAAGAAATCAAATTTAAACTCCAGGGACCAAGATAAAAAAAAATCCTAGGAAAAGAGAAGGGTCACATATGCAAGTACCGTGAACAGTCACAAGTTACAGATCCACTGGAAACTCCCAGAGAAGGACATGGGGACTGATGTGGAATCAGATCTATTTATTGAGTTCACAGGCAGGTAGCAGGTAACTAAGCCACCATGTCTGATGATAAAACATTTCTCCCTAGAAGAAACAGGGGTCATGCACAACTTCTTTCTAACCTCCTGAAATATCTGGAGTGTTTTGCGGTGGCTAGGCCAAAGTTCCTCCCTCCAGACTGCTGCACTTTGTTGCCTGGAGTTCCCAGGCTTAAAGTTGGGGCTCAAAATTTACCTTGTCAGGATCCATGCACAGGTGAACCCACGCTACTCTCTAACCCTGCAACACGATGGCTGACTTGTCTTCTCTGGGCCAGGACATTTTTATTATTTTGAAATCAGCTGTTTCTTCCTGTATATTTGCCGTGTCGGTGTGTTAGACAAGCCCTAGCACTGGTCTCTATTTTCCAACTAACTTGACACAGAGTCTCATTCCTGGACGTGACAATGCTGAAATAAAATTCACACGTGTGCAGAACAGGTTTTACCCTGACCAAATTTCTCAATCATAAAAGTGAGGCCCCCAAATTACCTGCTATGTAACACTGGCAAATTTGCCTTGTGAATTCATGCCATAATGCTATTAATTCTGTACTTTTAAAAAAGAACATGAGATTAATTTTAAAACTAAGCAAGATGATAGTACTCAATACAAATCGAGAAAAAGGTAAATTGTAAATCCTATTAGTTGCAAAGTTTAAGATATTTACCCGAGCATGGGTAAATCCTAAATGTTATTAGGATTCAATCGGTAACACAGTATTTTTTTTTTTTTAAACCTGTGCCAAATGTGTATATAAAGCAATATTTTATTTTTACCCAAGAAAAAGTGCCCTATTTTATT